TTTTCATCAATAGCTCATTATTTTCCTCAGTCACAAAGAGACATGAAATTAGTTTAGAGTATTTTTTAAAACTTTTTTCACGATATTGTTGCTGCGGGAGCACATTTGAGGCGTAAAAAGTAAATAATGTTTTTTCTAACAAATCAGCATTAGTCACCTTTTCTCCACAAAATTTTAGTTTAGAACTGATTCTATATAGTGCTGAGTTATACTCATTTACAGTTTTTAAATCTTGCAATCGCAGATGCATCCAATCATAACGGGCTTTTGACAGAATTACTATTTTCTGGTGGTCATATATTTCCTTTAGGCTTTTTCAAAGATCGACAAGATCTTTTATTGTGAGATACTCAATTTTTAATCCTTCATGAAGATGGTGGTGAAGCAAAATCATTGCTTTTGCCTTATCCTGATTGGATGCTTCATTTTCTTCTTTGATTGTGTCACCAAGACCCATAGCATCTAAATGGATTTCAGCATCTAGAATTCAAGATAGATAATTCTTGCCAGTAATATCAAGAGCCACAAATTCAAGCTTTGTAAGATTTGATATTGTGATAGCTTAAAAGAAGAACGTAAATGTTAGTAGTACACAATATCGTAATTGGCAAGTAAAATAATTAATTGACTGATGAAAAACACTAAATGAAAATTAATTTATTAGAAATTGGTAAAATTTGGGCAAAACAATAAAATGACAATAAAAAAAATTACCTGAAGAAAAATTAAACTTCGACTTTGTGAAGTTTGAGGGTGAGAGATTATAAGATCGTCAAATTTGTGAAGCTTGAGGGTGAAGGTGAGAGATTATAAAATCATCGACTTTGTGAAGCTTAAGGGCGAAGGTGAGAGATTATAGGATCGTCGACTTTGTGAAGCTAGAGCGTGAAGGTGAGGGTGAGAGATTAGAGGATCGTGCTGATAACGTGTTATGAAAAATAATAACTTTATAAGAACAAATAAAATAACTTGAAAGAATATTTAAATAGAAGAAAGAAAGTACTCAAGGGAGAGAAAAAATCTTATTGAAGTATGTGTATACAAATGAACTAAGAGAGCCTATTTATAGGCAAATAACCCTTTTACAAGATGAGGATAACACTTAAAAATTAGATGGATTATATCCTAATCTAATCTGATTAACATCAAATCTAGCTATAAATAACATAAATGGATATTTACAAAATATTCATAATATTTATTATATTTATATATGTATATAATATTAAAAAATTCAAAAGCTTGATAAAACTTGTGAGCCATTCAAGTCCAATATTACAAAACTTTAATTCGACTTGATAAAGAGCAATTGAATTAGAATATTCATCGAGTCCAATTTGAGTAGCTCAAAGTAGATTGCCTCATTCATATTCCTATACATATCAAACATGTGTAATATGATGTGTAAAAGAGTAATTCTGTGGATTTTTCATTTTTTTTAACTTTTTATTTTTATTTTCATTTTCTCTCTTCCTTTCCTTCTCTCTCTTCCATCGGCCAAACATCAGTTGACAATGGTAAAGGGTTGTTTTTGGCCCAACCAACTTTCTGACCACTATTGAAGCTAAATACAGTCCTCTATCTTGACTAATTGGTCCTTAATCGACAATGAAAAGAGAGGGAGAAAAAAAGAGAAAAAAGAGAGATATAAAATTAAAATATTAAAAAACAAAACAAAAAAATTATAATTTAAAATAAATAAATTTTAAATTCTATATTTTTAATAAATATTCTTTACTTTTCTTTTACAATATAAAACTTTCAAATTGAAATAAATAAAAAAAACTTCAAATAAATAGGCAATGTACACACGAGGTAACATGTGTTAGATACATGTCACTTAACGAAAATACTGATAACAAGATTGTTTTTGTTATAATGTTGAAGGTTTAGGAATCAATGAGTTAATTTTTAAATTATGGGGACTAAAATGATATGAGCTCAAAACTCTAGGAACCACGGGTAATTGAGTCAAAATGTACCCAAAGTTCTAGAAAGTGAAATTTTCTCTTCTTTTCTTCTCCACGCTTCGTAGGTCAAGTCAGACGTTACGGTTTGAATTGAACCTATAACCGCTCTTTTCTTCTTACGATATTCTAAAATTTTCTGTCTGATTTGTCTATTTTTATGCTCTAGAATATCTTAGAGGGGGCCAGTTTTACTTTGGTTCAATTAAAATTCGTAACATGCATTGGATTTTTACCTAAGCAAAGCTTGACCACATGGTTTATAAAAAACAAAAAATCATGTGGTAGCTTTAGAAACATGATTTTGTTTAACGTGCTTTGGCATCGTCGACGCCTCGCCATATCATGATTACTATGTAATCAAACATCTGCCGTGCGTAATTATGATTACACATGTGAAGGATGTGGGGATGCTAACTATTTTATAGGGTAAAAGGATACTAGGATTTTAAGAATAGGAGTTGACTCTATTTACATACTAATCATCCATCTTAATCCTTGGTTTAAGTTATAATTTATAACTATAGCAACATCCATTGATTTTGGGATGAAATTAGAATCTCAACAAAAAATGAGACTAAGTTATGTGGTCCTAAAATATTGTTACCTAGTCCCTTTTTTAAAATAATTTTTTAGTTGAATTAAAAACAGTAAAATTAATGATCATATATATCTGCATTCTGAAATATAGACCAACAACCCAAACTCAAAAACTAGCTTAATTATAATACTATATGAAAAATGAAATGTTGTCACAAAATCATGAAAATTACTATATATATTTCTCCTAGACCTTAGCAAATTAAATATGAAGAAAAAGTAACATAATGAGGTGCATCAAATTCAGGGAGCAAAACTTGTAATGCAAAATTATGATGACTTATGCCATGCCAAATGGATGGGTGAGTGGTCCAATTTGGTCAAGGTCATGGTTATGGCAGCAAACCAATGGCAAATGGGGTCCTTCGAGAATGATGAAGGTTCAGCTCATAAGTAACAGTCAATCATGTTCTCCATTTGAATGAGCAAAATTTTCAACATTAGCCTCCTCAAAGCAACAACGAATGGATATATATTAATTATATGTTCCCAACAAAAATAGTAATAAAAATAAAAAGAAGACGTAATGAATTAAATTAAAAAGATTTTGCACATTAATTAAAGGTAGAGTGTGGGTTGGGTGGTGGACGGCTAGCGTTTATAAATAAATGAAAGTATAAAAGAGAAAAGCAAGAATCTAAGCATGACAATTGGTGAAGGGAGAAGGTTGTGCGGTGAGCTTTGGTTGGACATGCCAACTTTACGGGTAAAGTTAGTTCACTATCCAAATCCACTGTTTAACCTTCACGAGTTTCTTCTTTGCAAGGACAACTGTGTGCAGCAGGTCATTGTCATCTCAGAGCAACAAACGAGCCGTTGAAATTACCCTGTTGCATGCCTTGTTTGTTTGTTCATGCAAAGTTGATATTTAAAAGCATTATTGGATGTGTGATCACTATTGTTTTTTCGTTTCATTTTCTTATAATTAATTAAATTAGAAAATGGGGATTCGAACTTGGGAAGTGTCTATGTGTTTAGCCACATAGATAGTTACATTGTAAACTTGTACACATGTATACATGTATAGAATGGAAGATTGAGTCTGGACCTCTCACCTCTGACCTCTCTTTCAAGACTCGGTAAAAGTATGAGTTTCACATATATGGCTCCAATCTCTATGCCACTTGTCGCTTGCTTCCTGTTTTGGCCAACCTGATGATCAACTGGTTCAATGCTCATGGCCACTACTAAGCTTCACCCTCCTAACTATCCCTGCCAAAATGTATTCATATTGTCTGATACCATTCGGAGAGGTTGAGGAACGTCACCAGGGTTCAACATATAACAAGCCAACCAAATAACCAATACAAAAACTAGCCTCTGAACTGATTATACATATACAATCAATAATTAATTAAGTTCAAGATCTGATCAAAACCATCAACACACAGAATTTTTAGCTTAACCTGTTAATTCTTACGTTTTGGCCGAGCAAGTCCTATATATGGAGCTATAGATTGTTTGGAATGGAACAAGAACGATGCTTGGAAAAATGAAAAGGAAAACATATGATAATTGGGTGCGCCGAGAGTGGAGTGAACTCTTAAAGAGTGCACAAAGTCCTGGACGACAGCCACTGCTTGGAAGCATAGCAACTAAGGTAACAATTCAAGAGTATTGCACTTATGAATTTATGATTTATAATAAGTGCAAAACATTCAACACGAGATGTACTAAGACAATCACTTTGTTGAATTTAAATCATACATGTGTTCAATGAACTTCCCTATATTTTCAGGCAGAGGAACGAAGTGCAATGGTGCACGCGGAATCAGCATCCTTGGCAGTTTCCTGCTGCACTGCAATCAGCATTGTCATGGAAACATTGAATTTCATTCCAAAATTTGCCTCCCAGCTCGATGTCCGGCACCTACTTTGCCCAAAGAAACAAGCTACTCTTCTACTTGGACCTACCCACATGATTAGAACCATATTGAAATCAGCCTAAAATATTAAAAAACACACAAGACCTCAGGGTTTGGTTTAGTAAGTACTAATTGGATGTCATCAATCAAATAAGAATATTTCTCAGATTGAGTATTTTAGTCATCATTCACAACTAACAACAACATTGGCTTTCATAAATGTCGAAACAACCAGTTAAATAAATTAAAGAATATTAATGCATGGTATTCTAGTATGCCTCTTAACTATATTCATATGCTTTTAAAATTATACTGGGAAGATTGCCTTTGTTTGAAAATTCCAGTTGTCCCCAGTGGGGGATAAATGATAGCCTTGGCGCCTATATGCTTGCCTTTCACTCTAACAAAAACGAAAGCTTCTTCTTCTATCTTCTCTTTTTCTCTGTTTCCAAAAGTTTCTCCTTTTTCATCCAACACTGACAGACATTTCTTGTCTGTTCCAATCATTAATTTTGCACTCCATCCGTCCACTCCCCTCCCCCTACTTACTCTCTCCTCCGCACTGAATTTTGCAACTTCAATGGCTTCTCGTGCAATTAAGTCAACAACCGCAAAACAGCTCAAGGAGCATCTCCAAGAGCAACAAGAGCCTTTTACTTTGAACATATGCCATTCTGAAAGAGGGTATTTGGTGAAAGGCATGAGCTCTAATGGTCGAAATGGTTGCTGCCAGATCAATTTATTTAAGAACCTGAGCAGACCACGCAGTTACAACTTGAACAAGAAAATGGTTTTAATCTCCACAAGGATCGTCAAGTCGATACTATACAAACTTGTTGCAACTAATGACATCCAGGAGCCTTCTTGTCGCAGTGATAAAGCCCACCAAGATGAATTTCAGACTGCAGAAACAAATGGTTTTACCGAAGTGAAGGGTCTAACTCCATTCGCCGCCTTTCCCAGCTCCGCTCCTGAAGAGGAACCTCTGCCTTCGGAACGTTGCAGAACTTCTCAAGCCTCAAATGTTGGTAATGTGGAACAACAAAAGGTACTGAAACATCTATTTTAGCTTTTTGTCAAAAAAAACTACAGCAATAAGCTCAGCTACTTGCACTGTTAAAACACAAACAGCTAGAGAGACAAACCCCAATGCATGAAAGATATAAGAAGCAACTCGGTCTCTTTTTTCTTGTTTTAAGAAAGTATAAGCTCTTTTTATCTAGCGTCGACTCACATTGCTTGCAGACTCTTACAGATAAAACCTGTCAAAGGAAATGCACTCAAGATAAGCGCCTCAACCTTATGTCAATGTTAAATACATTATCATCCGACAAAGGTTAGCATCTTTTTCTCTTTTTATTTTTTAATCTTTTTTCTTCGAAGGGTTTGACCCTGTGTTTCTCATGGAAACAGTGCATCACATCATAACAAGACAAGAAAGCCTATCAAGTAGGAGTTCCACTCTGACCGAAGATGCCGGAGGAAACTTCATCTTTACAACTTTTCCCTGGAAGTGGCTAGGAAAATCACTAATTGAGAGAGAGAGCCTCATTGGGTTCAAAGAATCAAAGGAGATAATCGAACCTTGCTCTCCTCAGCACCGGGGAAGCAAAGAGCTTGTGAATCAAAGGAAGCCTTTGTCCAACCTCACAGGGGAACGGGAACCCATCCAAAACAATGATACGAAGAATGTCAGAAACAAGTATAACTACATTCACTGGTTCATTGGGGTGGGAAACCTAATCAAAGCAGAGCAAATCTACTCATGCAGGAAATACTCTAGAGACTCAAGTATGGATTTCTCTAACACATTAGAAGAATGGAATTATTCCAGGCAAATGCAGAGGAAGATAGGCTTCGAGTTAGGGGATACTATCATGGATGAGATCGTTGAGGAAATAATTGACTTACTCAGGCAGTAAAATGGATGAGTTACACAAGCGAAACAGCCGCTGTCTATGCCCATTTCCACTTCTTTAAACAGAATCATCATACTGCTACAATGATAAATAGTTATATGTGTACACTCCCCCTTGTAAAGTTAAACCAGACGCCGAAAGGAACACGAAAGAGTACGGAAGTTTACAGGAAAACGGAGAATAATAAACAGATTCACATATCGACAAAACAATCAAAGGGAAGCAAACAGGAGAACAACTGCACAACTTAAAAGCATGAGTTTTTCTCTTTTTTTTTTTTTTTTGGTTTGTTCTTTGGGGGGTGTTGGGTGTTATTAGATAAAGAAATATATCATGCACTATTTGTGTACAGTGAAAATAATACAGATGACATTGATAACCAAGAATTCAAGGAAGATAGAACCAAAACTGAGCTATAAATTTGATGGTTAATGGGCCGATGCTAGCTGTACTTAGCGACTATTCCAGACTTCAGAAGCCTACACCATTTGCTATCATTAATTTGCAAAGAAAAAGGAAGAACTAACAGATAATGCCAAAATCTGTATCCAGTTAGTAAAATTTAGGTTGCATGACAATCCCAATAACACAACCAAGCTTTAAATTTTTGCTTGAAACATCTCATCACTGGATAGCAACCAATTAGTAAAACCTTGAAAGGCTGACACCATTGCTTACTTCCCCGCCTTGCAAACAAAATAAATAAACATACCATTTTATCTTCTAAAAACTGCTAGTTTCTGTCACAACAAACCCTTACCAATCCTTTTAATTATTCCATGGTCATCACTTGAACAAGAAAATTCCAGGTAGTTGATGAAAATAATTATGAAAAAAAAAAGAAAGAGAAATCACTATCTTTTAACTTTTTGTAATCAATAAACAAAGAATAAATTATGATACTGATACAACATTGCCCTATCAAAATATGTAGATAGGTAAAAAAAAACAGGCTACCTACCGTTGCTAAAGTACATTAAACATGCTGACAACTAAATGGAACTAGAATTTTGTAGGATAATATAACTACCGACTTTCCCTCTCACCAAATTCCCCATCTTCAAGTTCCTCGGGATCAACATTTCTACGTGAACCATTCCGATGTTCTCTCTTATGTCTTTTATGCCTGTTTTCACTATCTGATTCAGGGGTAGATGCATGCTGCAGCAGTAATGATCATTAATCAAGTGTTCTAAACACACAGTTGGAACCATTTCAAACAAACAAATGGAAACAAATATCATACCCTTTTCGATTTTTTGCGATCACTACTATGCCTGTGCGAATTCTTAGTCCGCTCTTTTTCACTTTCATTCAAATTATCCACAGAACTTTGATGCCGCTTCCGATGTTTCTTATCATCATCTTTTCCTGATCTTTTATTTTCATTGTCATTCTGAATTTCAGCCACATCAACATGTCCTTCCAAAGGTCCCTCCCTCAAGTGTTCCTCTTTTTCTCTTTCATGCCCTCTCTCTTTTTCCCTTCCATGCTTTGCCTTCCTTCTCTCTCTATCCTCTCTCTCCTTTTCCTTCTTTGCCTGCAAAAAAAAAAAAGAAAAAATAAATCAACTTCACATCCACATTTCTAAGAAAAGAATGTCATTATATACTCTTTTTTACACACTTCCAAACAGCATTGATCAGAGATGGGACAGTCACCTAATCAAAGTCCAGACACTTTACACAGGTTAAGGAAGCACCCTCCAAAAAAAAGGCATATTAGATTTGGGGCAACAAGAATATAGTAAATGATTTATGCAGTTTGCTAAGAATTTTCTGGTGACACATCACCAAAGAAGTTCATCTGCAAAAATATTTGTGCACATATAGTTACTTTAAAGAGAGACACTACCCTTGAGCACATGCAAAGAATAGACTAATGACAAATCAGAGATTTATGGCTAATTGAAATTCAAAAGAAAACTAAAGCACCGACTTAAGCTTATTTCACAATAAGAAAATGAATGCTCATATTTTAAGTGCAGAAATGGTATGCATTTATATAAGTGAAATTGATCTAATACCTTGTCTTCCTTCCGTCTTCGTTCCTTCTCTTTTGCCTCTTCTTTCAACTCTGTTATGTATTCCTCAAATATCCCCTTGCAGAAGCCTTCATCCCCAATGGAACTACACAAGCATTCAACAAATAAGTTTCATGTAAGCAATATTTGCTGAAAAATATATACAATGGTATCAGGAAACTAGGAAGTTAGATGCACAATTTCAGGTAAAGATACTTGGTTATTATTTCTTCAAAGTCAGTCTTCAATTTTCATAGAAATCACATCAGAACAACCATAAAAAAGAAGCATAGACAGACAAAGAACAAAAGTCACAACTATCAGTGGTCCATATCAGTATATCTAGGAGCACAAATAACTCTAAGCCTTCCCAATTAATGAAAACTTCGTCAACATTAAGAAAAGGAATCTTCTAGAAAATACTAGGAAAAATGATTTGATATTATGAACAATTATTAGTTATCAAAAATATTGCAGTATAATAAATGTATAACCTAAAACTATCAAAATCCAATCAAACCAGCAAGTACCTGAACTCCTGACTACTTTCAAAAAGATATTTGCAATCCTCCCATGTTGAAGATGAAGTAATTTTTTCATCTTCCTGCAACAGGTTCATCAATCAGATAGATTGAAAAAAAAATTCCAAACTACTCAACTATCCTACAAAAATGCTAAGATCAAATAGATGGAATAAAAAAAAAGGTTTCCAAACTATTTAACTATTGAATAAAAATTTTATGGAAATAGCCTGCCTCACCTTTATAGAACGTAATAAATCAAAAAAGTCATCAGTGAGATGTTTACGTTTCTTAGCTTCTTTCTCCTCCTTCTCCCTGACCCTTTGACGCAACTCCTCAAAAACTAGCTGCAAAGATGGATATCATATATTCAATTAAATACTTAGCTAGTTGTCTCACACCTTAAAATCAATTGATGTCACATAACAATTAAACATCTCAATGCCATATTTTGGACAATAAATCTCCGCACCATATCCTATTTTCACACCCTGGGCAGTTATATCTCTGTGCTGTCAATTCCAAGCAACTGGAATGTCAGATACTTGGACACAAACTCACCCGAACTGCACCCAAGTCTGAGCAACATATATATTCATTAACAATAAAAATTTTTTGCAGCAGCCCAAAATTCCAACCGCATGCCCTAGCAAACCACTCTGGCATTCCAAAGAAAACGAGAACTGTTAAAAACATGTATATACCTTCAAATTAACATCTGATATAGGTGGAGAGCTAATATCCTCTGCAATGGCAACCTTCAAGTCTTCAAGTGTCCAAGTTGATGCCAAAGAAATCTAAAAACTTACCAGATATTAGATACAAAAAATATTAAAGGCATTTAAGGAAAAAACACTGGATTCCATTGCCATACCTTTCTCAACTTCACTGCATCCTTAACTCGAGCTTTATCATCATGATACTGTAAATTAAAAAAAAGTAGGCAAGTTATTATGAGCACTATCCATTTGCTCAATGAAAGTAACCATGATTACCAAAATAGCTACAGAAACAATTGTTAGGTACTAGGTACAGTTTCTTTCAAAAATACCCATCCCTGCATGTCTTATTGTCTTAACATGAACAGTACTGAACCTAAGCACAGAATCCACATTCCATGCACCGAACAAAAAGAGATAAAAATGTATAAACCAAGTGACTAGTTAGCAACATGGTTATTTCTGACCAGTTAGATGTTTGCTGTTTTTAGTGATTTTTATGAGCTTCAACTGTACTTTGAGATTTATAGTATCTTAAGAACCCTTAAGTGGAATTTTGAACAAAGAAATTAGGGCCATAATTTCTGAGAATATTTTTAAATTGTTTACTATGCAACCAAAATACTTCCTGAAATTGAATTCAGACCTCTCTTGGGTCAAATTCTGCTCAAGAATACCACATACAAACATGGCATTAATGATACCCGGTTAAAGAAATTAAAATAGTAAGCAAAGAAAACAAGAGAATACTCAATCTTGTAATAGACATGAATTTTTATTGAGATTGAATGTAAAATAACATATACATATAAACACCAACGCATACAAACCCAGGATCTTCAGTCCAGGAAAGACCAAAGAAAGCCAATGATTGACTACCTATTTTAGTAACTTCCGGGTAAAATTGAGCAATAAACCTGAATAGAAAGATAAAGATTTACCTGTTTCTGAAGCTCCTCGGCTACATCTTCAAACAAATCTTTTGGAGTTGAACCTGAGGTGTTGGATGCAACTGCCATAAAGGGAGGTGATTCTTTAACCTGAAAACAAAATCCATTAGAGATATCAGAAAGCAAGATAAAAAATGAAATAGCTAGCTTGTGCACTTTTCTCCCCATGACCAAAACAAACTTCCTTGCTAACCATCATGCAATAATCACGCCAGTGAGTTTTCGCAGTAAGAGTGCCTGCAGCAACATGTCCTTCCATCAACTTGCGGAACTCATCACGATTTTTACGCTCTGCCTTTCTCAGTTCTTCCTATTTTGATAAAAGATTCAGATCAGACCATAATCCCAAAATCCAGATACCAATCAAAATGGGTAAAGTATATAATTGAGGTCACCTTCTGTATCTTCCTCTGCTCCTCTTCTTCCTTCTCTAAATCCCGTATATATTCCTATAAAACCCTCTTAAAATTAGACACAAAATGCACATAGAAATTGCCAATACAGTACAAATCACAAATCCTATTGAAAGTCAAACGAAGAATGCTACCTGAAATATTTCCAAGCGGTCGATTTTTTCAAGGCGTGAGCACCTTTCGTCAGTCTCCAAGCGGTCTTGAAGTTTACGCCACTGGCTATTTGCCTGCAAAGTAATAGTAATACCGTAAAGCTCAATATAAACCACAAATGCAAAATTTGAAATTTGCTAAAAGGTACCTTAATGAAGTCACAGGATTCCAAAAATTGCCTGTACTCCATTATATTCCGCTTGCGCTGCTCCTGTGCCTTCATTCGTTCCTGGCCAATAAACAAATTCAAGAAAATGAAAATCATGGATATGCTACAAAATCGAAATCTTTAAACCATGGTCTCTGGAACTAGTGCAACACTTAATTCCTATGAGATTTTGACTTAGCATATACAATAAGGACATTTTATCAAATAAGCTCACAATATCTGAATACAAATAAAGACAGTTTTGGCATTATATTTCGTAGACATACAGAATTTATAGATGATAATGCACTTATAAAGGTTGACAGAACAATAAAAATTTGATATTTGGCTTCCAGATGGAAGAAGACAAACAAACTTGTGATGCATGTGAACACAAATATTCAAGCATATTTGTGTATATATAACGTAGTTGTTTTGTCACTGATATGTGAAAAGAAGGTGGTGAGGGGCATGTATGCATATGTTCTACAAATACAGCAGCTGAAATGGATGAGTTGAGGGGCCAAAATATACCTTTTGCCTGAGTTCATCGATGTAATTCTCAAAAAT